CTAGAAATAGCCATTTAAGTTTCTCTTGTCTCTGCCCAAACTACTGGCCGCTGTGCGGCTGCTGACGGGACTTGAAAGTGAGCCGCAAGGCAGAGCGGGGCTTGGGGGTGAGTTCCGTTAGCGGTCGGCGAGCTTTTATCAACGGATGTCAATATTCCCCACGTAAATCGACAAGACCACAAGCCTGCAGCTCGGCGGGTAGAAAGTTGGAGTTCTGATCAACAGGTCGCGGGTTAGAGCCTTGGACGCTGCACCACCTGGAGCTGGGTATGTGAGTGGCTGATGAAGGCTGCTGAGCTAAAAACTTTCCATTTCAGTCTTCGTTGCCTTAGCCGGCAATGTTCATCCGAGGGGCTATTTCTCAGCTGCAGATAAGAGGTTCCGCTGGACACGGTGTAGATGGGGTAGGTCTAGGATAGTTGGAGGAAGCATTTCAATCTACATACTCCACCCACTCTCTCTCTCTCGCCCTCATCGGAACCGCAGGGGTATTCAGGCTGCTCGTCCTGATTTGGGAGTTGGGACCAGCTTCGGAGATTGGTGTATCGGTGACGACAGAATTGACGCGAAGCGCTACAGTCAGTTGCACCAGAATGTTTAATCAGGGTCACCTGACTTCACCGAAAGAGTGTGTTCATAATGCGGACATTGGGTTGACATTTTTAGAAATTTATCCGCCTTTATCTCGAAGTTTTTTCGATTATGACATGATGGCTGCGCGGAAGGAGTCTTGAATGTGCTTTGACAGGAAGGACATATGAGAAGGGACTGGGCGCTGGCGTTGTTTTTTTATCCGCTCTTATGGTTGACTGCGCATGATACTTGAACTAGCCGGTAAATCAGAGAGGGGGGAAGGTAAGGGCCAGGTATTCAGTTCAGTTTATTTGGAAAAGGCAGTAGGCAATGCCTTTTAAAACCCTATTGATTGCATGATGGTATGTCATGTGCATCTCTACATGCATGCGTAAAAGTATCACTTTAAAACTATTATTAACAAACAGTGAGTAGCATTGTTTTTACAAATAACTCTTATCTGGAGTTTGTGTTGTGTTCGAGTTCATAATGTCGAGTGGCAAGAGAGGACACATAATTATCCAAGCGTTCCTTGACGAGCTATAGGGACGTGGCCTCCGCGACTGATTGCGGGGGGTTATTTCATTGTCCTGTGGCCTGTTGCATGAAGAATTGGGGGCGGAGATTAAGCCTAGACATTTTCGTGCGTATCTTCATTGCGTTTCCATGATAACAAGGCTGGATGTGCCACTGGGGGATGTTCCCAAAGGGAGATCTTTTCTCAAGGCCGTGTATTATCTTGTAAGCTAAGATAAAATCCCCTCTTTGTTGCCTATTATACAAAAGGGCCAAATTTGGGCATTCCAATCTTTGTACAGAACAAAAAAGATACGATCACTGGGTCGGCAATTCTGTTATTCTGAGCTTTCGGCATCACAGTAGAGGTCATCGTCAGAGAAATGAGAAAACAGCGAGCGGTGTAATGTGTTGTACTCTAGCTACGAGTCAATGAGTGTTGGGGAAGGGGTGACATTCGTGATTGGTCAATGCTCACGCTGTTTCCTCGTGTCGCGCCTGTGCGCGTCCTTGGTACCTTGTCTTGTGTCCTTGACGTGACACCCTGCGTGTCTGGGCAAGAACTTGGTTGTGCGCACGGAAGGCAAAATAATATGGTGGTATGTTCACAGGCCTGTTGATGGAGTCGGAGTCTGACACCCAGGCCTCCGGCAGTTCTCGCCCCGTCTTATTAGCGGCGCGTGTCATTATCCGTGTCTTCGAGAAGTCAAATTTGTGGCCTTCTTCCAGAGTGTGGGTAGCGATCTGGGAGTTTGGGTCGCCTTTCCGCACTACCCGTTTGTGCTCCATTATTCGTGAGCTAAGTCGTCGCCCGGTCTGCCCTGTATAATGGCAAGAACA